CGATATTGAATTGTTTTGAAATACATCGTGTTGAATCGAAAGTGCACTGTATCGAAAATCGTATCATATCGTGGCCTGTGTATCGAGGTATGTATCGTATTGGGAACTTCTTAATGATACCCGGCCCTAGTAGCGTAAGTGGAGACAAGAATCTGGATCACTCATAAGAATTGATCTCTTTCATTGTTTGTGGATTTTGGTTAATGACTAGGGTTGGGTATCATTAAGAAGTTGCTGATATGATACATACTTCGATACATAGGCCATGATACGATGCATACATACATACATACATACATCTTTAAGTCTATTTTTAAAATTATTTTTAAGCTATTATTTATTATCTGTGTTACCCTTTCCTGCTGTTCTGAAATGGTGCGTTGCAACACTGGAATTTCCCCACTGTGGGACTAATAAAGGCATATCTTATCTTATCTTATACCTAGATACAGTGCACTTTCGATTCCATACGATATATTTCAAATAGTTTTGATACAGTTCAATAAAAAAAGAAAGTCTAAATCATGTCTGCGATATTAAAAGTCTTTGTTAAACCATTTCTTGTGCAAAGTTCATATGAAACACAATAAGGATGTAACAGTAACCGAAATATCGTCGTATATCGTATCGTCAAAAGTCTCACAATAATATTGTGGACTGTCACAATATTCAAAAGTTTCTTTGGTTTTACAGTAGCAACAGCTTATAAACTTCGGGAACTACATATCCCATGATTCATTTCAGTGCAAACAACATGAAGAAATATGTTTTTGACTTGAATTCTTGGGATTATGATGGAAATAATTCACACCAAAATCTTGTCAAGATATTTTAAAAGCAAAAAAGTGTCCCAGCCTCTTCAAGATATCGCAATAAATATCGTACCATGAGATTTTGATATCGTTACATCCCTAAAACACAAACATTTTAATCATCAAAACAGTGAAAATGTCAAATGTGTCTCATAAACAAGTTTCCTTACACTGAACTGTAGCGTTGTAACAAAATAATTTAATAAAATATACCAAAAAATACTGTTGGCGATATATCGATACAGCAGCCCATGATATCGATACTGTATCATCGCATTAAACGATACGATATGTCGATATTTCAATATTTCTGCACACCCCTCTTCATGACGCCAACATTTTAGGATCTAAAAAATTAAATCACTGTACGACTGAGCGAAGAGCCACATGCGACAGGTGCAGGGACGTGACGGGTGCAGTCGTGGGACCTGCCGTGACTGGGACGACTCAAATCCAGTCTGATCCGGTCTGGCAGCCTTCACCAAGTCCGTCGGCGCAGCGGAGGAGCAAACCGGGGCTCTCGCTTCAGAGTAGAGCGGCCCCTGGAGTTTTGTAGCTCCGTCTGCACCCACAGGCGGCGGTTTTGTAATGTTTATAAATGAAACGTTGCGTAGGCTGCGTGAATAAGTTGAAATTCTAATAGACGGGAATCCGCACGGAGGATAATATTAAAGGAACATGAAAAACAGAAGTAGTCAAAATGTCACGGTTTGCAGTGAACCAAAGTTAGACCTCACTTTCGTTTTGCATTCTGGGCGTCCTAGTTTTTTCGCTGCGATGAGTTTTTAAGAGTTTTCAGAGGCCAGTGTGGAGTTTTAGATAAACCACATTATATTAACTCTTTCCCCCCTGGACGCCGACTAGGAACAACCCATACATATGTTACTAGGGCTGCCCTTAGAGCATAAGTGCATAAAAGAAAACAGACTTCCACGAGTGATTATAAATGATTTTTACACTCATGAACTTAATTGAAACACGGACATATTTATATAATTCAGGAAACTTTCGACTCTGAACTCTTCATTTCTGGATGTTTAAATGTGATTCAACTCATTTACAGGTGTATAACAGCTCACTGAAAATGAGAGTTTACCTGGTCAGGTGCAAAATCGAAAACAAAAAAACTACATTCAGCATCTGATATCTGCATGTTCTGAGTACTATATTCATAAAAAAAATAATAAAATTAAAATACTTTGTCAAAGTATTTAAACAGATTTCATATCACGAGATACAGTACAGCCAAGTGTGCACCTGTTTTTACCTGTTGTACACCTGTGTGCACCTAATTCATTTTTCATTTAACTTATTCAACTCATTTATCTTATTATAATATAATAATAAAACTCTTCCCCGTCAGTGTGTGTTCAGTATTTGTCATCTTGGTTATTTTCTCGTGTGCAGAGCTCCACATAAGTGTTTGTTTCTGTAGTGATTCTGTCAAACATCGCATCTTGGAAAAAAAGACTGAAATATTTTAAAGGACTGGCCTGGGCAACATCCAGATTTCAGGGCAATTTTGGTTCATAATCGAGTATAAAGCCCGTTTTTTTTTTTTTTTTTGTCCCCTGAGGAAAGCCATAGGCTGAAACGCGTCGGGACTTTGTAAGTTGTCCATTAAGACATGCCGTAAACTAATAAAGGCATTTTATTTTTAACCAGTGAGTGCCTTGGATTTTTTGCATCTTTGTACTGACTTCCCTTTCCAAAAAGCACCACTGAGTTGGATCTACTGTGTATTATCCTCTGCAGGTCCAGGAAGCGCTTCTTCTGAAACATTTTTTATAAAGCCCGGATAGTTTGTTCGGATATCGCAGGACTCCATACAGACGCATCATCACTTTGAAATCTATGAAAGTCACTTTCTCTAAACGTATCCATAAAACACGTCCGCTCCTCATTATTTCTAAAACTGTGCGCCGCAGCACCGCGATCTTTCCATTGCACTTGTTTCGTGTTGTGTTTTTTCCAGAAGCTACAATCGTCACTACTTCAATTAACTTCGGAAAAAATCGGCGAAAACATATCCTTGAATCCTATTGGTCAGTGTAGTGTGGGTTGTAGTGGCCCCGACCGATCGCAGTCTCTGTTTAAATGTGAAAAACCGAGCCATTTCGAATCACGTCTTTAGTGAAACAGCGGAGGTGTCAAAAGACGTCATTAAGGAAACACGGGGGATCGTCAAATGTCGTCTTCATGGGGAAAGAGTTAAGGTTAGGATATGAATCTGCAGGACATTCAAAAGCGCATTGGAGCAGGCGGAAGTACACGTCGACGATGCAAATGACCGCCATAGCTTTGTGCCGTATTTGTTTCCTTATTTGCAAATGAAATTCTCCTGCACACTGGACACTTCCTCTTTCTGTACTCACGCTGACCTGCGGCTGCTGCTCACAAACTGATTTCACAATTTTGCTTTTAAACATCTAACTGAACTGCTAAACTCATACAAGAATCGCATTTACAGAAGAGCTAAAATTGTGCACCGCTCTCTTCCATTTTATGAAGAAGTTTAAAGGTTTAACTCTGGGCAGATGCATGAATTATGATGCTTAGTTTGTGCTGTAGTATTTTGTTTTACTGTGACTGATTTGTTTTATTTTCTCTTGTTGTATTTATGAAGATGAACTGGTTTAAAGATGACGCTCTGACAAAGGAATGAAGGGTAAAGGCAGAATAAGCTCCAGCTTCAGCCGACACCTTTTCAGTCTGTGTATGTTAAATATGACTGACTGTGGAAAATAATGTCAGAATAAACCTGAGACTGATTGATTAATTTATTTTGATCAATTTCAGATCATGTTCATAAAGGTCTGTGTTTAAATGGTTTACGATACGGAAAATACAGAATATAAAACGGACAAGAATTTAGTCTCATCCTGTTGTGAGTAAGCACTGAGCCTCTCACAAGGGCGTTGAGAGGAGAACCCTGTAACTGTGAGCGCCTCTGACCGTGAGCGCTGTGTAGTGTGTACCCTGTAACTGTGAGCGCCTCTGACCGTGAGCGCTGTGTACCTGTAACTGTGAGCTCTGACCCTGAGCGCTGTGTACCCTGTAACTGTGAGCTCCTCTGACCGTGAGCGCTGTGTACCCTGTAACTGTGAGCTCCTCTGACCGTGAGCGCTGTGTACCCTGTAACTGTGAGCGCCTCTGACGTGAGCGCTGTGTACCCTGTAACTGTGAGCTCCTCTGACGTGAGCGCTGTGTACCCTGTAACTGTGAGCGCCTCTGACCGTGAGCGCTGTGTACCCTGTAACTGTGAGCGCCTCTGACGTGAGCGCTGTGTACCCTGTAACTGTGACTGACGTGAGCGCTGTGTACCTGTAACTGTGAGCTCCTCTGACCGTGAGCGCTGTGTACCCTGTAACTGTGAGCGCCTCTGACCGTGAGCGCTGTGTACCCTGTAACTGTGAGCTCCTCTGACCGTGAGCGCTGTGTACCCTGTAACTGTGAGCTCCTCTGACCGTGAGCGCTGTGAGCTGACTCTGACCGTGAGCGCTGTGTACCCTGTAACTGTGAGCTCCTCTGACCGTGAGCGCTGTGTACCTGTAACTGTGAGCTCCTCTGACCGTGAGCGCTGTGTACCCTGTAACTGTGAGCGCCTCTGACCGTGAGCGCTGTGTACCCTGTAACTGTGAGCGCCTCTGACCGTGAGCGCTGTGTACCCTGTAACTGTGAGCGCCTCTGACCGTGAGCGCTGTGTACCCTGTAACTGTGAGCGCCTCTGACCGTGAGCGCTGTGTACCCTGTAACTGTGAGTGTGCTGTGAGCCTGTGACTGTACTGTGAGCGCCTCTGACCGTGAGCGCTGTGTACCCTGTAACTGTGAGCGCCTCTGACCGTGAGCGCTGTGTACCCTGTAACTGTGAGCGCCTCTGACCGTGAGCGCTGTGTACCCTGTAACTGTGAGCGCCTCTGACCGTGAGCGCTGTGTGGTGTGTACCCTGTAACTGTGAGCTCCTCTGACCGTGAGCGCTGTGTACCCTGTAACTGTGAGCGCCTCTGACCGTGAGCGCTGTGTACCCTGTAACTGTGAGCTCCTCTGACCGTGAGCGCTGTGTACCCTGTAACTGTGAGCGCCTCTGACCGTGAGCGCTGTGTACCCTGTAACTGTGAGCTCCTCTGACGTGAGCGCTGTGTACCCTGTAACTGTGAGCTCCTCTAACAGTGAGTGTTTGTGTTCCAG